TCTTCCTTCTTAGTTATGTCCACTAACTCAACCCAGTGAAGAAGAAGCAAACTGTTTCCAAGAATTCTTACTTCTTGAAGATCAACTCTCTACCTAAGAGAAAGGCTTATTCCCAAGCACAAGAGTTTTTAGCCTTTTCTTTTAGAAAGTATTTTATTTCTTGCTTTCGGTATCTTGTGTGTTTCTTTGATTGTTTAGATGATTTATGTATCTTATCTTTTCCACAAACAATCTGTAAAATTTTGTAATGATCTTCTTTATCAATAAAGGATTTCTAAAAGTGAAAGTCGTTGTGTTTGTATTCATCCCCCCCTACCTATAAACTGTTACCTTTAAACTCTTGTAGATCTGGCTGGGACCAACACCTTCTTAAGCACATTCTTAAGCAAGAATTTTTTTCTTGTTCTCTTCTTATCTTCTGTGTAACTTGTGTGCTTCTAATATTGTTTAGATAAGTTCTTAAGCTTATATTCTTCCGCAACAATTTGTAAATTTTGTACTGATATTCTTTTATCACTTCATCCCCTCCTTATACAAATTGTTACCAATAAACTCTTGTAGATCCATTTGGGACCAACATAATATCACATAGATAATGTCTATATTATAGGAAACTATCACCAAGTGGTCTGAGGTGATATGTGGTCATGAACATAAAGAGGGTGATAATCTCCTTTACAGATACAAGACGAGGAATGGAGGGACACGCCATTGTTTGAATCGAGGGCCATCAAGTTCAAGTTTCCTAGGTTCGAGGGAGGAGATCCGACCATGTGGCATGCAAGAGTGGAGCGATACTTCAATTTCTAAACGATGGCAGAACCAAAAGGTACCACTAGCTTTTTATCACTTGGAAGGAGAAGCAAATGAATCGTGGCAATGTCTTGAAAGAACTTATATGGATGAAGATCAGAATGTGACATGGGATGTTTTTGTGAGGGAGCTTTGGGCTCGATTTGGGCTGATGGAAGTGGAAAACTTTGATGAGGCTCTCTCAGAAATACATTAGATGAGTTCATTGCAAGATTACCAAAGGGAGTTTGAAAGGTCGAGCATTAGGTATAGGGATGGACACAAAAAGCCTTGGTCATAACTTGTTAGAATCACTTCTTAATGTAAAAGTAGTGTAAAATGAAGCAAAGCTATCTCCTTAATCAGAAGACTTCTGCTCCAAATGAAGTTGAACGACAACCCAAGATTATCCTCGACAAATGATGTGGAGTTACACAACTAGAAGCTGAGATGTGGAGAAACATAGTCTTTGGCTTAACCAAGCAGAGCCTCTAGCCTAGGCATACATAGCCTCTGGTCCTACTCTACATTTTTCTTTTGGAGGCTATAAATAGGTGATCCTTTTTAGGGTTTTAGGTACGCTTTTGAACAAATATCATCATGTTCTTACCTATAATAGAGAGAGATTTTTTGAGTATTTTTCATACACACACTATTGTGTATTCTTGGTGTAAATCTTTCAATCTCATAATTATTAATCAATAGAAATATATTCGTTCAAGAAGGGCTCCATTATTACTTATACACACATTATTGACTTTGATGATTCGAATTATTACTTATATCTATTTCATTGTTCTCATACAGTCTTAAATAGTGATTAATGTTTTTTGTTTCCACTAATTCATCACTTGGCATTGCTGGTAATTGAGGATTTGGGTTCCTACAGAACTTTGATGGGACGACATGAGCCTGAAATCACGGATACAATCCGAATGTTTAAACCATAAAATATCATGTATGCTCGAATGAAGGATCAAGAACTACAAAGGCAACATGCATTCGATCTACCACCCAACCAACCACTCTTGGAAGATCCTCCCGCCACAAAGAAAGAAGTGATTGCTCCTCCTAAACGTCTTACATGGGATGAGATGCAGAGGTGAAGTGCCCAGGGAGTTTGCTTCAATTTTGATGATAGGTTCACTCCGGGCCATCAATGTCAGGCACCTAAGATAACGTTCGCAGAAGAAAAGGGAGGGTTTAATGTGAAAAATGAAGATGTTGAGGGGTAAGGGTAGTGTTCTGGAAGCTGGTGCAAAGATGATCGAACACCAATCTTGAGGACAAGGTTATTGTTAATTGGGGGGGGGGGGGGGTAATGTTAGGAAATGCAAGTCATGGTGTTTGGTTTTAATGTTTCGTCCCTATCCACTCATATGTTTTTATGTTTCTCAGGTAATTTCCATTCAGTAGGAAAATTAGGATTTGCTTCAGAAAACCTCTAGTGAGTTTCGTTGTACCTACAATGAGGCCCTTCAGAGTAGGTCAATTATGGTAGTTGAAGCCATGCTCATGTGTTAAGTAGTGTCCTCGAACGTAGCAGAGTAATTTATTTTGATTGTATTTAAAGTTCCAAATGAAACGAAAAGGTAGGGAAATTTCTACCAAAACAACCCTTACGACTCTCTTACTCGAAAAGAATACGTGTTTTCTTAGGTTCTTAACATGAACCTATCATACTAACTAATTAATATGCTAATCTTTTATTATTTTATAAGGAAAATGTGGGAAAAACCAAAAAGAATTAGAATATGGATGAAAGTTAATGGCCGTTAGAGCAAGAATCAAATGCTCGCATTTTTATAAACTAAGAAAACCATCTTGTATTTTGAAACTGTTGAGATGAAAAGTGTTATAACTAACAAAAAACATGGACCAAATTCATAGTTTACTCTTACGGCAAAAATGCAAAAATTGTGAAATCACTGAAATGGCTCCGAAACGCATTAGCATTTTCTTTTTGTAACACGAAAATCGTTAACTACAGGCTGAAAATAACCATCAAACTTATTTGGAGAAAAAATGTGACCATTACTTGTGGATTTTGAGGAGATAAGTGCATAATTAATATGATACCATTTTGTTCAATGGCGTATAAAATGCATTAATATGAATCCTTTATATATCATATTATAAAATATTTGGTAACTACCATTTACAAGTTATTAAATGTTAGATACTATTTATTAGGGCAAAATGCATAAAATAACAATTTATTTTCATAAATTTTTTTATTAAAACATTCTACTTTCAGTTTTTCTTATTACAGCAATGTACTTTCAAACTATTTTTTATTAGAATATTGTACTTTGAAAAATTTACCCATTATAGCATTGAGTAACCTTTTGATTTAAATTTACCCATTATATCAGGTTTCCATACCACCTCATTGTCCACGTAGGCTGTCCACATGTATTATAGTGATTGACTTTCTTATTACAACATTGTACTTTCAAAATTATTTTATTATAACATATACTAGTTCTTATTAAACAATGTATTTTTAATTTTAATATTTAGATATTTTACATGTTATTTAATAAATATAAATTCTAAATTATTCATTAATATATCAATATTAATAAAACTAGTAGAAGACAACTTATCTCGCTAATATTTTTAAAAAAAAATATTTTTTGAAAGGGGAAAAAAGAATTGTTCTTTTTTTACCAAAAAACATTATCTTTTAAARAWTATATTATATTTGTTCAAAAACTTTTACTTGACGTATAAATATATTAAATTAATTAGATTTTTTTGAATTATTTATAAATATAACAACAATATTAAAAAATTGTATAATACAATTCATTTCGTTAACATTTTTAGAGATAATTTTAAAAKATATATTTTGTAACAACATGAAATAAGAAGTGTTACATTTTTTACAAACAAAATATATCTAAAAAATAATGTAGCATATTTATTTAAGAAATATTTTACTCTAGAATATTTAATTTGTATGCAACTTAATACAAAAAAGTCAAAAAAATTAAATGTTTTTTTTAAAATCATAGCAATGAGAAATGAAAATCACTAATTATAATTTGAAATAGGTTTTTATTTTTATTTTAATTAAGTCATCAAAATGATTTGTCATCCATATCACCTTATAAAAGCCACACAAACAAAAAAGTCAAATAGTTACCGATTTAAAAGGTAACAAGTTATCCATTGCTATAATGGATAGATTTTTTAAAGTGCGATGCCTTAATAAAAAATAATTTGAAATTACATTGCTGTAATAAAGAAAAACAAAAGTATAATGCTATAATAAATTTTTTTATAAAAGTAGGTTGCTATTTCATGCATTTAACCCATATTTATTAATACATAATATCTTAAAATCTAACTTTATAACTTATTACTATATATATATATATATATATATATAGAGAGAGAGAGAGAGAGAGAGAGAGAGAGAGATGAACGTTCAAATAAAAACCACACAATTTGTACAAATCGTGAAAACGACATTCAACCAATCATAATTTTTCATTTTGTTTATTTTTTTGTAATTATGAGAGGTTGATTAACCATTTTTATTGTAAAGAGTGTTCATCATGGATATTATCGTCTTCATTATTTTAATTTTAGAGAAATACATAAAACAATTTCATTAAAATTTCATTAAATATTATATGAAACAATTTCATAACCATATATGAAACAAATTCATCAAAAAAAAAATATATTATATGAAACAATTTCACAAGATTAAACAATTTCATGAAAAAATTTCATAAGATTAAACAATGAAATCGACGTATGAGGGTGGTTTGTACGATTTGTACAAATGAGGATGGTTTTCATTTGATCGCTCCTTTTTATATATAATTTTTTAGTTTTCTATGTTTGAAGTATATAAAACCAACGGATAAAATCATATTATATCGATAAAGACAAAGAATAAAAACTAAAATTAAAATCGAGATTTACATCGTTGCATTGCATGAGTACCCTTTCTAATGTAATAAACTTAAATAATAGTGTTGACATATGGTTGCTTGTTTTAACCTTTAACGGACATTTCAGTTTTAAGTAATAAAATGGTTGGCCCTTAAAAATGCCACCTAATATAATCTAAAGCAACACTTGTAAATCAAATTAAAGTAAAACCAAAGTGTACTCAACATATAAAAAAACATACCATCAAAACCATTGGGTTCAATTTTTCAAAGCTTCTCATTTTTTTCCCTTTACCAATGGCTACTTCTACCCTCAAACCCACATCATCCACCCTTTGCACAACACTTGTGTTAGTCTCGATCCTCATCATGTTCATCGTTTTCTCGTTCTCTAAACAACGCAACAGTCTTCGAACGGACTTCTTCCCTGTCACAGCACGCCAATCCTTGCCGCAACCCGACACTAACATTTCCCATATTGTTTTCGGACTTGTGGGATCTACAAAGGCATGGACCTATCGAAAATCCTACATCGAGTCGTGGTGGCGTCCGAATGTCACCCGTGGTTACCTCTACCTCGACACAGCCCCGACCAACGATCTCTTGCCATGGTCACCAAACTCCCCGCCTTTTCGTATTTCCGATAATATTACAAAGTTACTGGATGAAACGAAGCATGTGGCACCAATCATGGTCCGGATGGTGCATGCTGTGATCGAGGTATTTAGGGAAGAGAGAGAAGGGGTGCGGTGGTACATCATGGGAGATGACGACTCGATCTTTTTTGTAGACAATTTGGTGGATGTCTTATCGGAATACGATCATAATAAGTATATATACATCGGTGGTCATTCTGAAAGTATAATGTCGAATCAGATTTTCTCGTACGACATGGGTTTCGGTGGAGCCGGACTCATAATGAGCTACCCGTTGGCAAAAATGGTACAAAAGAATATAGAAGACTGCTTCAAAAGGTATCCGTATCTAAATAGTGCGGATTTGATTTTGATGACTTGCGTTAATGATTTTGGAGTTTCAGTGACCACTCATCAAGGTCTTCATCAGGTAACATTCATTAACCATCTACTTTAAATTAATCTGATAACTTACAATTTACTATACATAATTTTCTTATGCATGAAGTATTGTTTATTGATTCATATTACTTAAAATTCAAAATTGTAAGTAAATTGAACGTAAGTTAACTTACTAAAGCTTCATGTTTGAATTGGTGTAACTAACTGCAGATAAACATAATCAAATAGAGAATAAACATCTCATTTTAAATATAAAAAATCTAAAATATAATTAGGATAATTATTGGTTCTAACAAAATACTTAATTATTATCTTTACAAAAAATTATATTATTAAACCAAAAATAAAAAAATGAATTAAAGAGATATACAGGAAAAGGAAAAAAAATTAATAGATAGTTTGGTACTAATATCAATATTTTTTTTAAATTTTTTAATGATATTTTCAAATTTATATTTTATTAAAAAAATAAAAACATTATCGTTTTCTCAAAATCACGTAAAACCGTATTATAACATCGACTAATACAAAAATAAATAAGATGAAACATTAAAATCAAAATGTATCTTGTTGCATTATGTAAGTACCTTTCTAGCAAAACATTAATATTTTAAATATCTTAAGAACGAAGATCACGTGATGTTTTACTCTGTTTCTTGATTGTCGTGTGACATATAAGGAAATCCTTAAGAAAACGACATTTGTTGAGAAAACCACAATAATAGATCATTCATCAGAGGCAATTTTCTAATATAAAAGGACATATAATATCACACTTATTACAATCTCATAAATTTAAATTCTGTAACTAAAGTAAATTATTAAGTTAGTTTTTAATTTTAAATATAAATTTTTAGAATGTATATAAATTAATATTTATTTTCTGAAAATTTTTCTTCATTTTTTAACTGTGTATACATAGGGTTGAGTTTCGATGAGAAGATAAATTATGGTAAGAAGCATAAGAAGAGATCTCCTTCCTTGAATCAATCATAATTGAATGTCAATCCTAATGCACCAAGATGCATCAGATCAATTCTCTTTTAAAACACATTTCATGGATAGACATGAAAATAAAAGTGGTCAAAGATTCATACATCTTTTTACCATTTTTACCATAACTTCATTTTTTACACAATCTTTTGCGCATATATATATATATATATATATATGTATATGTATGCATGTATAGTATATATGAGCATATATATATATATATATGTGTGTGTGTATATATATATGTGTGTGTGTGTGTGTGTGAGAGCCTATTTAAGAAAAAACTGATTACTTTGTAGTAATTGTGAGATTCAACATAGACCACTCGTTTGAGATATTTAAGGATATTTCTTAAATAAGCTAAAAAGGTAATATAAAATTTTATTTTTGATAACTAATTAAAATATTTAGTAATTTTTTTACAAGGAAATATTTAATTAAAATTAGTTATCTAGTATATACCAATTACCTAATATACATCGTATTTTAAAAACGTTTATAAATCAAAGTGTATCATAGTGATAATATTAAAAAAGTTTCACGTATATCATAATGTAGTTTCTTTGTTTTATGAAATGTATCATAGTGTGCATTTTCGTTATTTTCATTGTTTTACAAAGGATATCACGTTGTGCATCTTGTATGTATACCTGGGTATCACAGTGAATACCGTTTGTAGATATCACAGTGTATATCTCGTGTTCACATAAGGTTCATCAAAATAAAGTTCAATCAATAATATTTGCCGAAGAGAGGAAAGATGAGAGATGATATTTATAAAATCCTGAAAAATGCCCTTAATTAATATTTTAAGTTAAAAATTCCAAAATTATTAATCTTCTAATTAACCTTTGATTTGTGATTAATATTGGATCTCACGGTTACCACAAACAAAACAGTTCTCATTTGATTAGTCTCCTATATATATGTATATATATATATATACATACATATATATATGAAATATATATCGTATTCAAATTTGATTATTAAATAAATTTTTAAATGAATATTAACTGAAATAACAAAAATTATACATGTAAATATTAGTGTATGTTTGTGTTAATTCTACGTAACATTCACATATAAGATATGAGTCAAGTCGGGGCATCATCTGTCTTTTAAGTTAAATCATTTTTTTAAGACGGTTCCTCTTATTCAGAGCATTAAAAGTTCATTATTCTCTTTGTCACTCTCTTTCCAATCACACACATACATTAAAAATAGAGTAAACTACGAATGTGGTCCTTGTTATTGAAAGTGATATTTTCACCTTTATATTTTCGAAATTACAAGATAACCATCGTGATTTGGAAAAATATACGAATTTGCCTTCTCCTTCTAACCACCTTTAAAATACAGGCATTTTTGTTTTTTAATTAATTATTTTTGTCTTTTACTCAATCAAAAACCACTAGTACCAAAATTATACAATCAATTTTGATTGCATAAAAGAAAAAAATTAAAAAAAAAACAAAAAAGTCCCCAATTTAGCAGAAGTTTTTTAAAGACCGTTAAAAAGATGGACCAAAACTAAGGGGTTATTTACTAAACGCTTACTTAGTAAGTGCTTACCAAATAAATTTTTTATCGGATGAACATGACAAGGGTTAAGAATCTTATCGGGTAAGAGCGATAAGAAGGATGAAGAGTCCTACCCTGTAAGTGAAGATTACGACTCTTACCCAAGTAAGTGCTTACCCGGTAAATTGTTGCATTCAATACGTTTTGAAGTACTAAAATCTTACTCATCAAAATAAATTATAGTGTTGACTCCTATAGGTAAGCACTTACCGGTAAGCATTTGGATAAACAGCCCCTAAACCATTACGATAATTTTGTAATTTTAAAACTATAGAAATAAAATATTATTTTCAATAAACCATATTTTAAATTTTTTGATAATATTTTGACAGAGAGAATAAAATATCCTTTTAATACTATTTATTTACTTTAAAATAACTTATTTTAATTCTAAAACTAAATTTTTTTTTCATTGGCCAAATTACCTTCTCAACCACTCAAATTCTTAAGGTTTTTTTTTTAATAGACAAATTCTTAATTTTTTTTCAACTTTATTACATCTTCCTCCTTCCTCTCTTTTTCTCTCTCTCTCTCTCTCTCTCTCTCTCTCTATATATATATATATATATTATATACCATCATTATAACAAAATAGGGTTTATAAGACGTTCTCAATCTCTAAGTGTCTCAATAAACTGTTTTATAAGACTTAATTTATAGGACCAAAAATATAAATCGTCCTATTTAAAAGCGTTGTAATAAGTTTATATGACGGTTTTGGACGTCTTAACAAGTTTTTTAGGATATTTTTAATACAAAACATCATATTAACAAATTTATAGGACATTTTTGAGAAAGAGTCCTATAAACTTAATTTTTTACAGAACACTTGTTTTATAGGACACTTGTTTTTATAGAACAATTTTTCAAATAGTGTTTCAATAAAGTTGCTAATGAGACTTTTTTTTATATTAAAAGCGTCCTAAAAAACTTATTACAACGTCAAAAAATGTTATCTAAACTTATTACAACGCCTTTATATAAGACACTTTATTTTTTGGTCAAATAAACGAAGTCTTATAAAGAGGTCTATCGGGACGTTTAGAGATTGGAGGCGTTCTATAAACTCAATTTTGTTGTAGTGCATGATTTCAATATAAAGGGAAATTATAATGAGAATAAAAAAAAGATCTGGACTTTGATCACTTTTAATTTCATACCTACCATTAATTGCCTTTTAAAAGGGAATTATGATGCATCTTGGTGTACTTCATTAGTGTTGTTATTCAATTAACATTGATCTAAAGGTCGAGATATCTTATTACGTTCCCTTTTCAACAGAACCCAACCCTTATATTTGATTCCGGTAGAAAACCACTTTACAAGAAAATAATAGGAATAAATCTTAGATCACCAGTTCAAATTAAAAAGTTAATTAATAACAGAGTAAAAAATGTGATGACGTTAATCACATTGTTAACAACACATTAAAATTTTATTTTTAAAGTTAAAAATATATTAACCTCTTATTTCTTAACCTAAATATACAAAATATAATCATAATTAAACCTTAACCCAAAATAACTATATCAAAAACGAACATTTTAATTTTAATATTCATATTGATCTGTTTTTAATTATTTTTAGTAAGAGGCCGTTTACCAAACGCTTACATGAGTGAGCGCTTACCAAGTCACATTACCGTACCAAATGAATATGACAATGACCAAGAATCTTACCTGGTAAGTGAAAGCGACGACTCTTACCACGACAAGAGGTTACGGGTACATTATTACATACGGTACCGTTTTGGTGGACTAAAATCTTATCTGGTAAGTAAGTAATAATGTTAAATTTTACCGATAAGTATTTAGGCCATAATTCTTTCAATCAACCTTCACATAAAAGATTAATTGAAGGTCATTATGGATCTTCACAACCCTTTGAACAAATTTACTAAAATATAAAATATGTTTCATTTAATATGAAAATAGAAAATATATTATATTCAATATCGACAGATGGATGCCATTTATCAAACACTTACCCGGTAAGTGTTTATTGGCAAAAATTAACACTATCATTTACTTACCGGATAAGATTTTAGTCCATCAAAACGGCATCGTATACAACAATTTACCCGGTAAGCACTTACCATGGTAAGAGTCGTTGCCCTCACTTACCGGGTAAGACTCTCTTGGTCTTTGTCTTGCTATTACTGGGTAAGATTCTTGGTCCTTACCATATTCATCCGATAATGTAATGTAATTTGGTAAGCATTTACCCAGGTAAGCATTTGGTAAACGGTCCTAAGTGGGAATAAAATTTACATTTCCCCCAATTTTTGTCTGGTATAGAAAAAATGGGTTTGGGGATTGGTCCTTGGGCATATAACAAGTGTATGTAAATTTTGTTGGTGGAATTGAATAACAATTGAGTTGTTTTTATAGATGGATTTACGGGGTGATGTATCGGGATTTCTATCGTCACACCCGAAAGCTCCTCTGCTTTCTCTCCATCATTTCGACCACATAGATCCGATCTTCCGCTCCATGGATAGTTTTCAATCTGCAAAACACCTTATGAAAGCTGCAAAAGTTGACCAAACCCGTTTGGTACAACAAACCATATGTTACAACAGACAGTTAAAATGGTCTTTTTCAGTCTCGTGGGGCTACTCGATCCATGTTTACGAGATAGTCATCCCTCGGAGCATCTTGAAGGTCCCTCTCGAAACATTCAAGCCTTGGTTATGGAACTCGCAGCCACCTTATTACATCTTCAACACAAGACCGTTGTCCAACGATCCATGTGAAACTCCCCATGTGTTTTCATTTGATTCAGTAGAGAACGTTAGTGAAAATGAAGTCGTAACAAATTACATTCGTGTGGCTTCACGTGGGTTGCCGACTTGTCAATTCGCCGGCAACCATTCTGCGGATTTGGTCTCCAGAATTCAAGTTGTGTCCCCAACGGCAAAACCCAACAAGGTGAGTTTGAATATCAATGAAAATCCGCTACTTTTATATCATTGGGAAAATTTTACCAAAATCAAACATTTTTTCATTTTTGAAACCTACTACCAAAAACTCCATTTCTGGTCTCAGTAACAAAACATTTTCAAACAAGAAAGTTTGAAATCAAATTTCAGAAACAATTTTTTGTTTCTAAAGTTATAATATATGTTCTTTTTTTGTTCAGAAATTAATAATATGTTCCTTTTACGTTCCAATATTTTATATATATATATATATATATATATATATATATATATTTGGTATCATGTGAGACCAAAAGTTTTTCGTGAGATTCGTAAAACAAATTCTCAACCCTTGGATTAGATTTGCAATCTGAACATTCATAATCACAAAATTGCCTTGAGACTTCTCAATAATCACAAAATTGACACCGTACAATTTTAGATCATTAGCTTATAAAGTTGATCAATGAACATAAATTGGTCTTACGGGTCTCACTAAAACTCTTGGTCTCACGTGAACCCAACCTTGTATATATATATATATATATATATATATAGAGAGAGAGAGAGAGAGAGAGGTGAATTATTATGACAACCTTTTACATTTGTACAACCAATACAACTCAATCTCAACCATTCATTTAGTTTAATGAATATGTAATTTCACAAAAGTTTTGATTATTTCCAAAAAAATTGATCATAATTATTGAACCATATTCATTTTCTATAAATATTCAAATCATAATAAATAAACTCTTATCATTTTCATAAATATCTCAATTGGTATTGCATTGATTGTATAAATGTGATGAGTTGCATTTGAAACGTACTATATATATATATATATATTATTTTGATATAATTTACTATATGTTTTACTAATATTTGTGTGTGTTGCAGAATGGAAAAACTGAATGTTGCGACGTGGTTGAGACCGATGGCATGGAGGTCGCGAAGCTAAGGTTGAGGGACTGCTTTGATGATGAGTTAATTGCTTGAGATGGATGGAAGACATGTGCATGCATTCTTGTTAAGATATTTATTATTGTTTAAGTAAACCGAGAAGAAAGTGTACATGTATCATTTAGGATCACAATCATCCTCCAAAATAAAAATTAAGTGATCATCTTTATCAGTCAAATACAATATCGTGCCATATTAACTAACAACCAAATCCATAACAAATGGATCCAATAATTTAAATGAACTACAACATGTTTTAAAACACAATTAAAAGAGGCAAATAAGTAAACACTCACAATTAACTTCGTTCTTGTACAAACTTACAAATCTATACACTAAGATGAGGATGAGGAGAAAACCCTAAAATTCTTCTCGAAGAAACTATCGAGAACTCTATAAAAAACTGAAGAGTCAAGAGGACGATTCGTTCTTCAAACCGGGTTCAAGCTCATACATATATATCAAGCAGCTACAAGGTTGGTCCTCTAATTTATCAATAATTGCACTGCTACTCTCGAACCTACAACCCAGCTACATAGATTTGCACAAACAACAAAATCAACCCCTCATCAACAACCACCTACAAAAACAACAATAAATGTTAAGATTGGATAAAATAAAGGCTATATTTAACATCACTCCTCAGTCTTGACATTTAAACAAGTCAATCAACATTAACTTTGAACACAAGTAATTATGTTGACTCATACTAAGAGACCTAGTGAAAATGTCAGGCTGTTCAGAAGAAAAGATTTTTATGACTTTTAACACACCCCCTTTGACCTTTTCTCTAACATAATGAATATCAATTTCTATATGCTTAGTGTGTTCATGAAAAACAAGATTATAAACAATTTCTGTAGCAGATTTGTTGTCACGGAATAGATTTACAGGAAGTAAATCTTTAACTCTCAAATTTGTTAAAATTTTAAGAACCCAAACAATTTCACAGGTAACAGTAGCCATTCCTCTATATTCAGACTCAACAGAAGAATGAGAAAGTTTTTTTACTTTTCTAAGAAATCATAGAATTTCCTAGAAACAAACAAAAACAGTGACATATCTTCTGGAAGAAAGACACTTACCCCAGTCAACATCAACAAAAGTTGATAAATGAAAAGATTATGACCTTGTAAAACTAACATCTTTTCCTGGTGAAGATTTCAAGTATCTGAAGACTCTTAAAGCCAATTTAAGATGAGATTGACGAGGAGAGTGCATAAATTAACTTAAGCAATGAACATCAAAGGCAATGTCAGGACGAGTTACAAGCAAATAGATTAGTCTACCATTCAACTTTTGATAACCACTACAATCATGCAAATGATGATCATTAGAAACAAAACCAATAAAGTTAGTAATAGTAAGGTTCATACCTATAGGTTATTAATAGGGTTACATCCAAGATATCCAAAATCATTTAACAGTTCTAAGCAATACTTTCTTTGACACATGCATATCCCTTTATCAAAATCAAGGACTTCAATTCCTAAGAAAAAACTTTAGTTCACCAAGATCTTTAATCAAAAAATTACTTTTCAAATATGTTTTAACTATATTTATCTCTAACAAGTTATCCCTAGTTAAAACAATATCATCAACATATACTGAAAGAACAACAAACCCAGATTCACCATTTTTGGTGAAAAGAGATTAATCACTAATACTTTTAGTAAAACCATTACTAATAAGACAAGAGGATAGTTTTGCATACCATTGACGAGGTGCTTATTTTAATCCATAATAAGATCTTACAAGCTTACATACTCTTTTATCATCAGAATTAAAATATCCTTCAGGTAAAGTCATATAAACTTCTTCTAACAAATCACAATATAGGAAAGTATTATTGACATCTAATTGAAACAAGGACCAATTAAATTGAACAGCAAGAACAACAATGCATCTGACAGTTACCATTTTCACAACAGGAGAAAAAGTTTCTTCATAATCAAACCATTCTCTTTGACTATACCCTTTAGCAACTAAACGAGCTTTGTATCTTTATATTTTACCAGAAGATTTATATTTTATTTTATAAATCCATTTACACCTTATTGGTTTTCTTCCTGTAGGCATATCAGTGATAATCCAAGTCCCATTTATATAAAAAGCTTCCATTTCATCATTCATGGCACTAATCCAATTTTTTTCATTACAAACTTCTGAAAATTCTTTGTTTCAATAGATTTCTTTAAATTTGACAGAAAACAAAAATTTTCAGAATTCAGGTAAGAGTAATTTACAACTCTTTCTAAGCCATATTTAACTTTGCCTTCTATGACAAAGTCATCAAATTTTTTAGGAAAACTGGTAGCTCTAGTCATTCTTCTAATAGTTTATTGATTATTGAAACTAAAAAGAAATACCCTCAGGGTGGAGATTAGAAATTTCAACACTATTGTCACCTTGGTGAACATCTAAAGATTGCACGCCAGACTTAGCGTTATCCTTGGCAGCCATCTCCGAGCTACTCAATTGTTGCAAGCCGACAGCTCCTTGAGAGTTTTCAGTAGGACATTTATGCTACCTAGCTGCTGTCTACTGATAGCTCTAATGGGCTACTACCAAGAGATGATGGCCGGTTAACCTCATCATTAGGAGGTAAACCAGTGAGATTAGTAGGAGAACCAAATGGGGAATCGAAGAAACTTAAGAGTATTTACTTCACTAGTGGTAAGATAATCCAACTCTTTGAACTTATTTTAAAAGGAAAAATAGTCTCATAAAACCTAACATCACGGGAAACAATTATCTTATTTGTATCAAGACTAAATAACTTGTATCTCTTTTGGGAATTAGCATACCCTAAAAGAACACACTTTTCAGCTTTAGAAGAAAACTTATCAGTAACATTGGTTTTAGTGGCAAAACAAAGACATCCAAAGTTTCTCAAATGGGTCAGAACAGGTTGAAATCCATACACTAGTTCACAAGGACACTTTCCTCCTAAGACAGAGGAAGGTGTTCCATTTTTAAGATAAGTGGCAATTATAATACATTCACTTCACATGTTCAAAGGTATACCACCCTGAAACATGAAAGCTCTAGCCACATTTAGTAAATGACGATGCTTTTGTTCCACTATCCCATTCTGTTGAGGAGTTTGAACACAAGGTGTCTGATTAACAATTATTTAGTAAAGAGGTCCAACCCATCTTCGAGAAAAAAAAATCCTCCCAATGGTGTTCCAAATAGCTAAAGCTAGTTCTTTAAACCAAGATGCCTCTCAAGCCATCCCCATGAACCTCCCAAAAGAAATCACAGAAACCATCGCCGACTTGACCTTGAAAGAAAGATCCCACCTTAACTACAAAACGTTCTTTACCATCACCCAACATGACCTCTTCATCAAAAATCTCAAGTTTCACCCTGATTACCCTTTCCTGAACATCTTCCACATTCACGATTTGCATGGGTTACCAAAAGAAGCATTATGCTTTTCTGGTATCTTTTCGTGTCCTTCACTATTGTCGTTTTTTTCAATGTTGTCATGCTATACTCATACTTGTTCCAATGTCAATTCGAGAAAGCCCAAAAAAGTTCCAAAAATGTCTTTACCCTTTTCAGTTGGTTCGATCTTCCTCACAAATGGCTCCAAAAGCTATCCACATGCTATAAGACTTATGTAGTCATCATGTTCAGAAGCCCTGTTCTTTCCTACCTCCTACGGTAATTACAAGACAAACACAATCAATAATTTATCATTCATGTTTAGCCTTCATCTACGATTGGTATGACATTAATCTTTCCAGCAAATCCTTTGAAATATACCAAGTCCACAGGCACATGGAAATACATGGTCTTCTCGCCAGTGCAAATCAAGTAAGTCCCCAGATGATTCCAGCGCATGTCATGGAAAACAAATATTTATGGCCTGCAGAACACCCACTGTCATCGAAGTGGAGTGAGTCTGTCCAACAGTGGTTTCAAACTCATCCGCCACAGAAAATAGATACTTCTGACGAATATGACTTCACAAACCAAGAAGAAGATGATGATTATGACCCATTTGAAGAGCATTTTGACATGTACGAAGATGATCCATCTCGTCCGGATTCACGTTGGAAATAAAATAAAATAAAAATATTCCAGAAGTTTTTTGTAAAATAATGTATACAAGTATTTCTTAGGCCTTAAGTATTAGTGTGATGTAAAAATGATGGAAACTTTAAGTCATTTTAAAGTGATGTAAGTGTTTATCTTATGTTGAACCAAAAATTGATTGCTTTTGTAATACTTAGATCATGATTATCTAAGGGAACTTTTTCCTTGTCTATATAAGGAATATTCCCCCTCATTTGTAACTATCCTCGGAAAGAATTAAAAGCTTTTTCCATATATCCTCTCTTGTTCTTAAGTTTGTTCTTAAATTTATTATTAAGTTTAAGGTCATATTCTTCATACTCTCTTATCAATCCTAATCTCTTAGTCTTGCCTAGTCTCTTAGTCTTGGGAATCACCATTTATTAATCCTAATCTCTTACTTTTGCTTAGGGGCTGTTTGACAGTTGCTGAATGATTTAGTTCAGAATAGCTAAGAGGTTAGAATGGCTAAGAGGGTCAGAATGGTTAAGTGCTGAATGAAACAAAGTTGTTTGGTAATTGTTTTCTGAATGACARCAAAATTACCATTTTAACCCTCAAGAAATACAATCAATTCTAAACATTCTTTTAGAAAAAAAAGATGATGTTCTTCATGTTCTTCATATCAAGATCACAAATCCTCAAGAAATTGCAAAATATAGGTAATCCAATCATCATTAACATTGTTATAAACATGAAGTTAGCAATAAACACCATCAATTTTCAAAGAAAAATGCTACCCTAAACCAAACCCTAGACAKAAAAATGCTACCCTAAACCAAACCCTAGACAGAAAAATGCTACCCTAACCAAATGCGACGTGAGGCTGTGGAAGGCGACGAGGCTGTGGAAGGCGACGAGGCGGCGACGTGAGGCTGTGGAAGGCGACGAGACGGCGACGTGAGGCTGTGGAAGGCGACGGCGACGAAGCGGCGACGAGGCGGCGACGAAGAGGCGACCGGAGACGAGKCGATCGGGGTGCGACGATGGAAGGATGATCGGGAACCGACGATGAAAGGACGATCGGGAATGGAAGGGGAAGAGGATATGTGCTTCGATCGGGAATGGAAGGGGAAGAGGATATGTGCTTCGATCGGGAATGGAAGATGGAAGCGAGCAGGTCTGCGTGAGTAGATGAGGGCAAAGATGGAAAAAAAACAGCCCCTGAATGGTTGAGTGGAGTATAAGGGTCAAAATGGTTAAGAGATGTTTGTAACCATTAAGAGGTGGTTTTTTTTTTGCCAAACACTTGCAACCTCTGACCGATTCAGCGATTGGCTCTTAATGTAACCATTAAGAGCCTACCAAACAGCCCCTTAGTCTTTCAGTCTTGGGAATCACCCTTTGGTTTAGATTTATCAAAATGTTGAATTAATCTGCAAAGCATTTTAACCATATTCTAAATACAAATATTATATAAAATAAATTCTTTATCATATTGGATTTTGAACTATCATAGATTCACATTGGATCGGTTTTATCATATTGGATTTTGAACTATCATAAAAGTTTTCATCTATTAGTTGTAACTAGAACTATAACTTTTATCTATTCAAAATATATCCAGTTGTAGAGACTAAATGCAAATCCTATCATTGTAATGTTTTAACATCTCTTCTAATATAACCACCCAAGCTTCAAAATCATTCACATTTGTAGCTCCAACGGCATTGTGCGTATATACAAGTATAATTGTATACACATACAAATAACATCCTGTAATTATCATAATGACACTTTAACATGATATTTTCTTAATTATTATTCAAGAATTATTATTTCTACAATCAACTTGATTTAACTCGGGTTTCTACAAATGGAGTGAAACGTATTCTTTGTGTTCGACCCTATAGGTTTACATACTCCTTAGCAGTATTTCTCTGTATAAACATGTTGTGTGCATACATTATTTATTAGAAATGGAACTGAATTTCATTACAAATCCTACAAACTATATACATCAAAGATCTAAAATCCCTCCAAATCTAAATCCAAAATCCAAGTCCCTGCAAGTCCAAATCCTTCCACGAAATCCACATACGTCAAAACCGGTCCATCAAACCAAAAGTCTTCAAATGAGTTAAGTTTTAGAATTAGGGGAATAAATCTTATCCTTGTAATGCCTTACATTCTCTTTTTAACAAAACGATCGAAACTTCAAAATCCTTTGCATCCCGCTACATTAGAACAAGTATACAACTATTATTATAAAACCAAACGCCTTCCTTCAATTTCGTTTTCGTTGAATACTTTTTAAATCCTCAAACCAGACACCACCTTAAAAAACAAGGAAAAATAAATCTTCAAATATATCTTTAAAATTGATGATTCAGTCTATATAGTCTCATGTCTACTCATGTTTGGCTCGAAACTAAACCCAAATCAAAAGGGAGCTAAAACGAATATTTAAAAAACTATAATTAAAAAACTCTAAAAAATAAGTCTAATTAAAAAATATAAATTATTTTATGACTTGGAATTAGAGGTTCAATGGTGACTGAACGACTATGTATTGATTTTGGCTTGTTTCACCACAAACCTAAAACCAAAAAAAGTAGACGATTAAGCGGGTGTTTTGGGATTATTTATAAAAATAATTTATTGACTTATTTTAGTATTTTTGAGTGTTTGGATAAACAACTTATACCAGTGTCAAACCGATAATAAAAAGTTTTTGAAGAAGTTAAACTCTTCTAACTTATAATAAGTTAGATAAAATCATAAATTGTTTCAAATAAGCAATCTCCAACACCCCTAAACTTGGATTTTCGCCATCAACTAAACAAATTAAGGTGAACCGACAAAACCATGAAATTGTCCACATCAAATTGGAAACCGCAATTTGCATGTATGCGATGTTTTCATATGAAAAAATCTTTGTATAATATTCGAGTTTATATGATGTTAGACATGGAAACTTATGAATCTAATCGACCCCTTTTCTACATTTTATATTTGTTCCCTGTTGTTACACTTATTTCAGGTTTCATCTGTAGTTACTGGACCATGGCTGTTCTCAACTGTATTTCCTCCTTCAATACTATTCGTGGCAATCGTATGTTCTAAACATGATATCCCTCCTCCACTGCTACTGGGAGCCGTACGTACCAAACATGAAATCTCTAGCAGCCGAGCAACCACTTGGGATGCCTCAGGCCGATCTAGAATGTCTCTTCGTATGCAATCCGTCGCTAACTTCATCATCTTCACCATATCTTTTGGTGGAACTGTTTCACGTATCCGTTCATCGATCATTCCTGGGACAAGCGTAGGCCAATTTGCCGTGGCTACTAGTCTCACAGTTGCCCAATCCATGATCCTCATGTCGCCTTCCGGAGCTGCTTTCCGACCCGTGATTAGTTCCAACAACACCACTCCGAATCCATAGATATCACACTTGGTTGTTAGTCGGTTCTCCCGTTTGTACTCGGGCGCGGTATACGGTTCTGTACCTACAATATGATTATAATGCGTCTCCTTTGGCTCGTATATAGCATTACCAAAATCAATTAACTTGGCGTTGTACCCTTCGTCTATTACTATGTGTGTACTCTTTATATCTCTATGCAAAACTGGTCCAGGGACTACGTGATGAATGTAGTCTATCGCTCTTGCTGCTCCTAACGCGATCCTCATTCGGTTTTCCCAGCCTAACAATTCATTAGAATCTGCGTAAATAATTGGGCGTTTCAATTCTTTGGACTATTTCAGCATGATGCTACTATTTTAATCGAAATCGTTACAAGTTGATCTTGTTTGATTACCATGTAAACGATCGTATAATGTTCCTTTGGGTGCGAATTCGAGCACAAGCATCAGCTCTTCCAATTCGGTACAAAAGCCTTTCAATTCAATAATGTTTTCATGATGGAGTTGATGAAGAAAGGACTTTTCGGATTTGTATTCTCTGAGAAACCGGTTCACCATAGCCGGGTCTTTCCGTAGCCTTTTGATGGCGACTATCTGAAAGTGTATATTATGAAATTGAGAACAATACATGTTTAAAGAAATCACAACTATTACCTGTTTATTCTTTAACATGCCTCTGAACACCTCACACGTACGACCTTTCGCCACGAAACAGTCCGTACGCCACCCTCGAGTCGCTGTTTGCAGGTCTCTAAACGATAACATGATTGCTCTTGGTTCTGCAGGTTCTGATGGGGCTGGAGGAGGAGTAGCAGGAGGAACTGCACCAAATTGATATTTGGAAATCAAACGTTGAGATCGACTCCACTTTTTCATCATCATTGGAACTAAAAAACCCAAAAACAAGATTGACAAATTCCAAGATTCTAAAACCCTCATTTTGAGTTGAGGATTCTTGAAATCAAATCTTGATATCATATCAACGGATTTTGAAATTTCCGTAGTTTGTATTCATGTAATGAATAGAACGTGTTGATGGTCATTGAAACTTGTTCATATCACAGTCGATGGCTTCATGTAATCAGATTAAGAAATTTTACCTTCATGATCAGATGTTGATGGTTTCATGCAACATGCCAGCATCTTCCTCATGTGGGTGTATATACATATATACCTCTGTCGCGGCTAAGACTCTTCTGTTCCAGGAAAAAGTTGTTCGAAATCTGCACAGGTTTAGATCTTCCCAAGATCATTCAATCTGGGCATCCCATGGATCATCATGTATTCGACATCATTCATAGAATATGGATAGAAAGAAAGAACAAGATGTCACTAATATATGTATATATTTCACACAAAGAAGACAATGATTACAAAGATAAGAACACCTATATATAGAGAATGAAAGAGTGCCAACTAACCATCACATCTCTTCAAGAGGTGGTTATATGATGGTTTTTCCCCTCCCTCTCTAACTGCCATCGGTTATTGGAGGGTGTGTGTGTACACACACTTATCTAATCCACAAACTAATAATAATTAACATAACTAACATAATGATTTAGTTATTAAGTTCCAACAAAAGTGAGAAACAAAAAAAGGTTATACACACACACATATATATATATATATATATATACATATACATTCATAGATATATACATACATATATGCACGTATGTTTCGATATGCATGCATGTATATATACGGATATTGTATAGATACGTAGTGAAATTGGAAAATAGGGTACCTCCTGAAACCACATAGATGAAGGGTTTTGGTGTAAAGATCATTGGAAGTGATCAATGGAGATCAAAAGCAACTGTGTGTGTGTGTGTGATTTGAGATGAAGATGGAAGGGATATGCCATGCATGATGGCATGAAGAAATCACGGTAGGTTTTTGACTGATCTAAGATTTGGCCTTTTATTTAGGAATTAAACCTACCAAAAAAGGAAAAATAAATTCTAAAACGTTTTCCAAGTTCTTTATTGTTAGGGTGAATTAAGTTGGTTGTTATGGTTTGCTAAAATTTTAGATTTGGTTGCTGATGCAAATTATTTACATAGCTATTCCTTAACTTTTCATTTTCATGATATTAAAATGCTAGTTAGTAAGCATTATGAAAAACTAATCGATCTTTAAACAAACTATAAAAACCAAAAGTATAGTCTATTCTAAAATTTAATGTAATTTAATCGGTTTTTTAATTTTTATTAAAAAATATTTTATATATTTGAAAAATACATATTAAATAAAAAATATTATATTTAGGTAAAAACTATTAATCTCACAAAAAAGTTTGGCGTTAAAAAATCTCAAGTTTAGAGGAACAAGTGAAATCAAAATAAATTCATATATAATTTGAGTTGAGAATTAAAATACACGAGAAAAATATTGAAAATTAAGTTCGATTAACGTGAGATTATTAATATATAATCAAACTACAAATAATTAAAATAGCAACAAAATAAAAATCATAAATTAAGATTAAAAAAACACTGATTATTCAAATAATTAACAAAATAAACACTACAATAAATTTTGATTTATATGAAGCAGAAAAAAATTAAGCGTCTTAATAGACCATTTTATATGACCAAAAAATAAAATGTCCTATCTAAAAGGGTTGCAATAAATTTATAGGACGCTTTAGTACGTCTGAACAAGTTTTTAGGACACTTTTTATCCTTTACTTTTACTCTCATCTTCATCTTCCCCATTTCATATCTTGAAGAACTCTTGAACCCAGAAACCTCACATATTGACTTAATCTAATTCTAATCTCAATTAAAACAGATTTTGTGATTCATATTCATTAAAGGTTGGTTTAGTTTTGTTATTTCATTTAGAACACAATCTATTTTGGTAATTTTTGATTCTTATCATTCTTGTATGTTTGTATGTGTTTATGAATGTTCTTTGTAACATGAACAAAAAATGTTCATATCCTTGTTTGATTCAAATTTTTTTAAAAATTTTATGTTTATGTTTGAGTTTAATTTTTTTTTTTAAATCTGATTGTTGAGCGTATTTCATTCTTGTTTATATTGTGAGAGATTTTTTTGAGAGATTTTTTATTCATTTTGATTTTTTTTTCCGTGTTGTTGAGAGATCTTTAAGCAATTCACTCTTGAATCTGAACTTTTTCTAAGTGTTTTGAAAGAGATATGTGTTGAGCGATATCTTTGAGCGATTTCCTATGAGTTTTGATTTGTCTGTGTTGAGCGATATAGATATGAGAGATATAGTGCTGAGCTATATTCTCAATTTTTGAGTTGTGAGAGTTTTGTGAGTTTAATGTTGAGCGATATGTTGATCATCTTTCTCATTGATTTAATGATGATTCTTTTTAACTTACAAAGTATTTATTTCTATTATTCAGTTTCAACGATCATCACTGAGTTTGTTCGATGATTGTTGAACATGTATTCTAATTCCTTTAGAGACTGTTATACTTCAAGAAGACAAAACTCACACCGCAGATCCTTCAGCTATGTCGAAGACATAAGGTGAAGATTAGAGACCAGGAAGTTCGGGATCTGAAGCGGCATTCAGTGATTATAAGCTTGTCTACATATGTGTGAAGACTACTCAAGTTTCAACGAATATTGAAGAGACCTTTCAGCGTCTTTCCAGTATTCAACGATCAAAGGAAACTTACCAAGCACGATTGTTTTTGTCTTGTCCTCCTTTACACAAAGGACAAACCCATACCTTTTCTAGAGTATAGTATAGTACGGAGCCACTCCGTTGACTCTATAGTGCTTACCCACTTTATGAAAAGAGAACTGCTTATATACGGCCAAAAGAACTCTTTACTGTAGCAAAGGACAAGCTTTCCTCCAAAAGCATGACACGTGTTTTGTATCTTCTAAATTGCATTTAATGCAATGGGTATAAAGTGCTATTCTGTCAGTTATCAATCTTCCTTAGGACTAACTTACCTAAGAAATTACTTCTCTCTATCTAAGAGAAAGAACCACTTTGAACAAGTGAAGAGCACTTTGATTCTCATCTTTATTTCTTATAGAAAATCTTTTCTCTTTGCTAATTGTAATTGTGTGAACTTTAGATTATTTAGATAGGTTCTTTCCCTTATCTCTTCCGCAAACAATCTGTAAAATTTGTATTGATCTTCTTTATCAATATATAATTTTTAAAAGTGAAAATTTATGTATATGTATTCATCTCCCCCTTCTACAAACTGGTTACCTATAACTTTTGTAGATTCGGCTGGGACCAACAAGTTGTATCAGAGCAACGTTTGATTTTTGTGTTGTTTTGTTGTTTTATTAGTATTTTATTATCTTTTTTTCGTTAGACAATTTAATCCTGTTAAAATGGCTTTGCAAAACACTAGCACCCATTTTTACGATAATGGCTCTCTTGCCAAACCTCCCCGTTTCATTAGAGATAACTTCAGTCTCTGGAAGAATAGGATGTCTCTATTCTTGAAAGGTGTAGATCCTAAGATCCCATACTATATAGAGAATAGACCTTATGTTCCATCTTCTATCTCTCCAGTAGTTCCTGCAACTGCTACAACTAGCACACTTTCTAAATGGCATATTCCAAACCTCCCTTATCAATGGAGTGATGAAGACAAGAAGAATGTGGCTTTAGACACTCATGCAAGATCTATAATAGCCATGGCTCTTCCTTACGAGGTATATCACTCAGTGATGAAGCTCAAAGCCTCGAAAACCATATAGGACAATTTATCTGTTAAATATGAAAGGACTTTTGAAGTATAAGAATCGAGGAAGATAAATCTAGTAAGACAATATGAAAGCTTTTTCTATGGAAAGATTGAAACTTTGTCTGAAGTACATCAACGTTTTAATTATCTTCTTATTGATTTGAGGATAGTTGGAAGAGAATATTTCAACTCAGAGATGTTGACAAAGTTCCTAGAATGTTTGCCCGAATCATGGGATCATTATACCATGTGTCTCAAGATATCCAAGGACATGTCCTCCCTCTCTCTTAGTTCCCTTTATGGGATATTGCTTAATCATGAGCAATCCCGTCAACTGAAAAAGAATCTTCTTAAAGACTCTAGGAAAATGAAAAGCTCTTTGTTAGCTTTGATCTCTGATATCCCTTCAGTTGACGCTTATATTTCTTCTATTCTTTCTATATCTTTTGTATCTATCACTGAGTTAGATCCTTCTAACTCTGAGAGCTTGTCAGACGTTGATCTTTCAGAGTTTGATGAGTCACTGGCTCTTCTTACTAACCTTTTTAGGAGGTTCGCCAGAAAAAATAATTACCGTAGATCCCTTGCTGGCTCTTTCTGAAAAGCCAAAGTCAAATGCCATTGACAATGCTTCAGTGATCTGCTAGAACTACCAATGCAAAGGTCACTTTGCTAGTGAATGCAGGTCCAAGAAGATTGCAATGCCATCTTCTAAGCCCCCATCCTCCTTCAGATCTAAAGATGATAAATACCTGAAGTTGAAGGAGAAGTAAAAGAAGATGAAGAATTTTTTAGCGAAAAGGCAAAGGTTTTGTCGCTGAAGAGCAAGACTGGCTGATTCTTCTGAAGATTATCCTATAACGAGGAAGATATGGCATATCTCTATCTAATGGCCAATGATGTCAAAGATGAACCATCAGAGACATCATTCTCCAGTAATCCCTCATCATCTACTCCTACTCAGGTATGTTCCCTGAATAAACCCTCTTCTTCTACCTGTAACAGCCTATCTGTAGTAGATACGCTGACGGTTGACCTTTACAATGTTTTGAATGGAAAATCCAAAGCTGAAAAGCTTAATCTTAAGACTTAATAAATACATAGCTAACAAAAGAAACATAATCATCGGGGACATGTCTACCCGGAATATACTTACTATGAACAACCCAAAAGTATAACTTATACCTAAACTCAAAAGTAGGCTTTACACGTCAATCCCTAATCGATCATCCGACCTTGTTTTTGCCTTTGCCAATTTGCMCTSAAAAGTTAAAACCACTAAAAGATAAGCTGTATGGCTTAGTGAATTTATGTGGAAAAATATGGTTACAATGTGTTATATAAGCGTATATACTACGAAATAAAGAAGGTCTCGAAAGAAATTTTGCATAACAACACGACAACAACTTAGTTGTACCACATGATGTCCTTTACAACAACCTACTTTGAACGTGGGAATCACAAAAGAATGTTCAACATAGAAAAAGAACATCAATATAATCAACATCATACTCGAGATCAAGCAAGGTCACATACCAATTAACT